AGATGAAACCCCACAGTCGGGGAAACATAAGATCTGACCTCAGGACACCCAGCTCCAGAAAACTTTCTGGGTTCCTGTAGGCTCCAGGTGCTAGCCTCCAGCTACACTCATGAGTGCTGTGCTCACCTATTACTGATTACCGCTAGGGTATTGAGGCACACAGCTCCAACCTCAGACCTACAGAAACCCGAGAGCCACTCTATCAGCCTCCAGACACTGCTCCAAGGTACAACGAGTTATCCCTAGCTAAACAGATGAAACACACAGGGCTCCCTGGTCCTTCAAGAGGGCTGTGCCCAGCAAACAGAATAAGAGCAGCAGCAGCATCTCACTAAATTCAGAGCAAGAAACCCAGCAGCAGGGCAGCTGTCTCCAGGACTTCTGGCAAGAGGAGAGCAGTTACCGCACAGGTTCATATTCCTGAGGTGAACTGCGGCAATTCCTGATAAGCACCACCATTTGGTTGAACATACTAAAAGAGCTGAGGAGAGCTCCTTCAGAATGCTGCCAAGGGGATTCTCCCCACCCCAGGATTCCAGCAAACACCAGAAACTAACAGCCAATGCCCAAGACAGCAAGATGGGTAGAGGCCAGCCAACCAACAAAAGGCAAAGCAATATGGTATCCTCAGAACCCAGTTATCCAGGAATAAATAGCCCTGGACACCCTAACATAAGTGAAATTCAAGAAGATGATCTTACATCTATGTGTATGAAGAGCTTAATGGAGGAGACAAAATGTATAAAGAATTAGAGGAAGATAAAGTCAAACAGATTATGGCCATCTTAAAAGAAATACAGGAAGATGCAAACAAACAGTTTGGGCTTTTAGAGAGGAAATGATTAAATCACTGAAAGAAATAAAAGAAACAGAGGAATGTTCAAACAAACAGGTGAAGGAATTGAAGGAAAAACAGGAATTACTGTCAGACAGGAGAAGGAAATCAACAAAACGGTTCCAGATCTGAAGATAGAATTGGAAAAATTAAAGAAAACAAAAATGGAGAAATCATACTTAGGAAAGAAAACAGGAACTATAGAGGTAAGCATAACCAACAGACTACAAGATATGGAAGAAAGAATCTCAGGTGTGGAAGATATGATGGAAGAAATCAATGTATCCATAAAAGAATATAACAAATCTAATAAATTACTGACACAAACCACCCAAAAAATCCAAGACAACTTGAAAAGACAAAACCTAAGAATAATAAGAATAGAGGAAAAATATATGTTCATGTCCAAGGCTCAGTAAATATTTTCAACAAAATCATAGAAGAAAATTTCCCCAACTTAAAGGAGAGGCCTATAAGCATGCAAGAAGCCAACAGCACACTTAATAAATTAGACCAGAAAAGAAAATCCTCCCACCACATAATAATAAAAACAGTAAGTATACAGAACAAAGAAAAATACTAAAAGCTGCAAGGGAAAAAGGCCAAGTAACATATAACAGCAAACTCATCAGAATCACACCTGATTTCTCAACAGAGATTATAAAAGCCAGAAGGGCCTGGATGGCTATCATGCAGACACATTAAGAACAAAGATGTCAGCCCAGGCTACTATACCAGCAAAACTTTCAGTCATCATAGATGAAAAAAACAGGATATTCAACTACAAAAACAAATTTCAACAATACCTACACATAAATCCACCATTACAGAAGATACTAGAAGAAAAAATACAACCCAAGAAATCAAACTTTCAAGAAAACACAGGAAATAATTAACCTCACTATAGCAAAACTAAAAGTAGCCAAGCACACAAACACACTACCACAGCCAATATCAGAATCAACGGCTCTAACAGCCACTGGTAATTAATCTCTCTCAACATCAATAGACTCAATTCTCTAATAAAAAGATACAGACTAACAGAATAGATTCATAAACAAGACCCAACAATCTGTTGCATACAAGAAATACACCTAAGTCATAAAGATAGACATTACCTGAGAGTAAAGGGCTGGGAGATGATTTTCCAAGCAAATGGACCCAAGAAACAGGCAGTAGTAGACATTCTAATATCTAATAAAATAGATTTTCAACCAAAATTAATCAACAGAGATTAATTCAACAGAAAATTCTACCAAGAAGATATCACAATTCTGAACATCTACGCCCCAAATACAGGAGCACCCATATTTGTAAAAGAAACAATGAAACTTAAACCACACACAGATCCTCACACATTAGTAGTGGAAGACTTCAACTCTCCACTCACAACAAAGGACAGGTCAACAAAACAGAAAGTAAACAAAGAAACAATGATTCTGACAGAGGTCATGAATCAAATGGACCTAACAGACATCTACAGAATCTTTCACCCAAACACAAAAGAATTTACTTTCTTCTCAACACCTCATGGAACCGTCTCCAAAATAGACCGTATAGTTGGTCTCAAAGCAAGCCTCAACAGTTACAAGAAGACTGAAGTAATCCCTTGTATCCTATCTGACCACCATGGACTAAAGCTGGACCTCAACAACAACAGAAATAGCAATAAGCCTATACACACATGGAAATATGAAAAACTCACTACTCAATGTCAGCTGGGTTAAGGAATAAAGACATTAAAGTCTTCGTAGAATTCAATGAAAATGAAGGCACAACAAACCCAAACTTATGGGAAACAATGAAAGCAGTGCTAAGCGGAAAGTTCATAGCACTAAGTGCCTTCAAGAAGAAATTTGAAACATCTCATTCAAGCAACATAATAGCTGACCTAAAATCCCTAGAGAAAAAGAAGACACATCAAATAGGAGTACAGGGCTGGAAATAATCAAACTCAGGGCTGAAATCAATAAATTATTAACAAACAAAACAATTCAAAGAATTAATGAAACCAAGCAATGGTTGTCTGAGAAAATCAACAAGATAGACAAACCCTTAGCCAAACTAACTAAAAGACAAAGTGACACTATCCAAATCAACAAAATCAGAAATGCGAAGGGAGACATAACAACAGACACTAAGGAAATTCAAACAATCAAAAGGTCTTACTCCAAAAGCCTATAATGCCCCCAAATTTGAAAATCTAAAGGAAATGGACAATTTTCTCGATTGATTCCACTTATGTAAACTGAATCAAGACCAGGCAATTTGATTAAATAGTCCTATATACCCTAAAGAAATAGAAGCTGGCTTCAAAAGTCCCCCATCCAAAAAAAGCCCAGGGCCAGTATAAAATTCTACCAGGCCTTCATATAAGAGCTAACACCAATACTCTTCAAACTATCCCACAAAATAGAAACAGAAGGAATACTACCAAACTCATTCTATGAAGCCACAGTCACCTTGGTATCTAAATATAACAAAGACCCAACCAAGAAAGAGAATTTCAGGCCAATCTCCTTATGAACATTGATGCAAAAAATACTCAATAAAATACTTGCAAACTACATACAAGAGCACATCAAAGATATCATCCATTATGACTAAGTAGACTTCATCCCAGGTATGCTGGGGTAGTTCAAAATATGGAAATCAATCAGTGTGATCCACCATATTAACAAACTGAAAGAAAAAGAACCACATGATCATCTCCTTAGATGCTGAAAAAGCATTTGACAAAATCCAACAGCCATTCATGTTTAAAGTATTGGAGAGATCAGGACTACAAGGCACTTACCTATCCATGATGTAGGCAACATACAGTAAGCCTATAGCCAACATCAAACTAAATGGAGAAGCGCTATTCCTAGTTGTCTGAGGAAGCGCCAGACTGATTTCCAGAGTGGTTGTTCAAGTTTACATTCCCACCAGCAGGGGAGGAGGGTTCCCCTTTGTACACAACCTCTCTAGCATGTGTTGTCACTTAAGTTTTTGATCTTAGCCATTCTGATGAGTTTAAGGTGAAATCCACAGAGTTATTTTGATTTCCTTTTCTGTGATGACTAATGAGGTTGAGAGGTTTAAGTGTTTCTCTGCCATTTGATATTCCTCTATTGAGAATTCTCTGTTTAGCTCTGTACCCCATTTTTTAGTTGGGTTACTTGATTTGTTGCTGTTTAACTTCTTGAGTTCTTTATATATGCTGGATGTTAGTCCTCTGTCAGATACAAGGTTGGTGAAGATCTTTTCCCAATCTGTAGGTAGTTGTTTTGTTCTGACGACAGTGTCCTTTGCTTTACTCTGTTCAGGGGAGGTACAGTGCCCACTCTCCTGAGTGCTACAGTTGGTGAGGGACAGAGCTATTTATTCTGAGCTTATGAGCAGCTTTTCCGGCTGCAGGAGTCAGCTCTCCCACACTCACAACCTTAAGACATCCATACCGCTGCCACCAGAGCCAGCCTCACTGTGCTGCCTGGGCAAGGTACAGGGTCCATTCTGCAGAGAACTGCAACCAGTGAAGGGCACAGAGAGTTCTGCACAGCCTCTGGACATCCATGTGGTCCCCAGCGGCTGACTCAACCAGAAACTCCCATGTTCTCTAGTGACAATATGAGCAATGGACATTTACAATGACCCCTTCTGCTCTGTAGCCACAGACCCAGACAAAACCTTCAGCTGCAGTTCAGGCTGGGTGTGGGACCTCACCATGGCCTTCAGCTGCAGCTTGTGAGGCTGCCCACTCACAACAGGCCACTCCTCCCCACCCTCGAGTCTCAAATTCCATCTCTGTTCATAACTCTCAAGCTGCTCCACTTCTCTTTCTCTCCCATCTGACCACGACATACTTGTGGTGCCTCCCTCTGAAGGCTGGCCACAAGGCTGGCGGGCCCTGAGTGATAGCCTCTGTGCAGAGTGGCATAGCTACAAGCTGGTGTCTAAGCCATGCTTCCATAGGAGGGCAGGTCTTTTTCTGTCTTCCTCCTTCTCTGTGCTGCACCGTTGCAGGCTGGCCTCTGTGTGTGTATGGCCCTCCTGTGCCACTGAGTGGAGTGCAGGTCTGTGAGCGTCTTTTTCCACATGCATGGCATGGCATGGAGGATCACCGGCCTCTGACTTCCTTCCCCTTTGCTGTGATGCCTGGATTTGCCTTGATTTGAAATGAATTTTACGTATCCTAGGCAAAAAACAGTTTTGGTCACTAAGCCAGACATAAAGTTAGGATGAAGACAGGACTGACATCTGCTTTGTCCCTGACTGATATAAGAACAACACCACCAACAAGGTATCTCTTTGCCCATTACCAGGGAGGAAGGAAAACTTTTTAAGACCATCTATTTATAACAAGTTTAGAAATGTTCATTTGTGTTTTGTAATTAATTTGTATTTCTACAATTTTTATTATATTCATATAATTTTTTAAATTATTTTAAAATCAACATGTTTATAAAGTCTTAAGGCAGCATAATTTATTTTAAAATTCCATGATTACTTTACCACTTAGAGGAACAACTATTTTATATTGCTATGTTTCCTTTTAGACCTTTTCCTTTTGCATTCAAGATTATACTGTGATTTATATTATTATGATTATAATAATATAATATACTATGTGTGTATGCATGCACACCTTCTGTGTAATTGTATATATGTGTGTGGCTCTGTGTGTGGGGAGAGCTGTGCATATGCATGTGTGTTTGTGAAGGTGTGTTTCTGACAGTAATTCTGTATGTATATGCATCTGTGAGTGTATGAATTTCAACACATACAAGTGTGTGTGTGTGTGTGTGTGTGTGTGTGTCCATGCAGCAATTTAAGTCTCTGGATGGGAATGCTGA